AATGTCATGTCCACCCCTAAGTTACCGTAACCGTCGACACCGATTCCGAATCGAAATCGTGTCTCGGTCTAGATTGGATTAGTTAAAATCGGGTTCGGGTTGAATTATCAATCCGTGAAGGGGAGTGGCATTGAAAAGAAGAAGCCAAATCTCAAGAAAGTTTTTTTAACGGATGGGGGATGCTCTGAGAGGGAATAGATAATTGAAAAGCAGGGGAAAGTGGAATAATAATGGTTCAAAGTTGGGGTGTCAGATTACTGACAATGGACAGGCTGCACAACAAGTAGCAGCAGAGCTCTGCAAAAGCAGACTACACAACAAAAGAACTTCTGACTCACTTAAAGCTCCTCCTCTTACTATTATGTGTGTGTGTGTGTGACTCTTAGTCTAAATACCTCTGCAGCATTACAAACCCTAGGGAGACTACACAAACTAATGACACCCCATACAACTATATTTACTATCACACCCTTATGTTTTTTACCCCCTAATGAGAGCCAATAGAAATAAATTTACCAAAATAACCTTACATTTCCAACCCCTTAAATGCATCGTACTAATGAGGTTGGGTAGTTAAGAGGCGGGAGTCTTATTTTGGACATTATTACTGCATAAAAATTCTTCTGATTTTCGTGAACGGACCAAGGAAGGACACATTTTTAGTTAAAATTAAAATGAGAGACTTTTAATTTAAAAAAGGAAAGGAAGTGTATTGGGAAAAAAAAGAAAATTGTTATGAATAGAAGGAGAGCATCTTTCCTAGTAAATCTATGGGATTTGGTTTGCTTACTTTTTCCACTGTGGGAGGGATTCTTTGATGGATGGATGGGTCAGGTAAATTGGTCAGTACTTTGTTGATCAGACCCATCAGAAGGCAGGCACAGAGACACTGCCCTTTTTGCACAGTGCTAAATGCAATGCCAGTATGCCACTGCCCACCCACTGCACTCACTCACCCCTACACACTTTACTCCCATTCTTGTTCTACTTTGTGCACACCATTACTTCCATAGTCCCACATAGGCCCGTTCAGACCCGAAACCGGTGTAGGGGATTGGGGGTATTTCGGAACCGATGTAGGGTATCGGGGAACCAGTCTCCGAAATGTTGGAACGAGGGGGAAAGGGGGTTGATTATAGATTTTTTTGGTACCGAAATCGATGGTTCTGATCTCGATTCTTTTTTTTTCTTTGATTGTAGTTGTTGCAGTGAACAATTACTTTTGCTATCGTTGTAAGCCCGAACGCGATGGCATTATAGCCGTTGGGGGGGGGGGCATGGTGGGTGGGGATGAGGTTTTTCTTGCATCTTTTTCTATAACACCTTGATTCTCATGACATTGGGAACCAATGTCATGGGATGGTCATGGGAACCAATGTCATGGGAACCTTCCCCTTTCTATAAATACTCTCTCCACTTTATACTTTCTTTACTCAATTATCAAATCTCTCTCTTACTCTTTTAGTCTTTATATTACTTCCTCCGTCCTAGAGTATTCGTCCACATTTGACTTTTGGAACTGTTCATCTAAGTACTTTGACTCATCAAATTTTCTGAATGTGTAAGGCTAAATATAGTCATGTGTGATCTTGTTTGATTTGTTTTAACATATAGATTATTAATATATAATTTCTATAATTTTTTAATATACAAATTACAAGATAAAATAGATTAAAGAAGTGTATTGGATGGTGTGTAAAAATAAAAGTGGACAAATACTCTGGGACGGAGGTAGTATTTTGTATGAATTCTCTATAACTCATGAATTCTATGTAACTCTCATTTCTTCATGTGTATTCATTGATCATTTGATAAATTTTAAAAGTCATATCACAAAAAAATAAAAAATAACCTACATATTGAAAAACTAAGTCAAAAGTTAAAAAAAATGTGACACTGACTTTTTAAGTTTATCAAATGATTAATGAAAACACATAAAAGACACAAAAGTTATAAAGAATCCATAATAGTGACTTGTGCTTTTTGGCTTGGGAGGGAGGGAGTATATTTATTGCTTATTAAGCTTTTTTAGTAGACATTATTTTTCAGATTAAAAAAACGGTTGTAAATTGTTATTCTTCATTTTTTATAAGTTCTAATGGTTAATTAAGGGGCACTGTGTGTGAGAGAGAGGCCGTCTGAGCAGGGACGACTCCCAACATGGAGGTTCCTATTCTGAGTAGGGAGGTTGTAAGTACGTGTCATTGCTTGTCGTTTCTCCCCAACTCACAAAAGGTATCTAGCGAGATATTGAAAGTCGATTTGCACCTTATAGGACAGTGTATTTTAAATGTTTTAAAACAACTTAAGAATTTCAATCCAATGGAACAAAGATATTGAAAGTCAATATTGAAAGTCGATTTGCACCAAGAATCTTATGCGTCAAAAACGTCTTACTTGAGCACCTCAATACTACTCAAGAATTTTAATCCACTAGAACATCTTGATCTTCTCAACACAACTGCCGCACAAATTTAGTTTTGGCTAACAAATTCTTGTAAATGGGTTTACACTAGATAGACAATACTTCACGCAATGAAGTATCTAACCAGATTTCATTGTTAGGTTGATAACTAACTAGAGGCTTTTCCAACGAATCTCCTCTACCACTGAACAAAGATTTGCATAATATCTTTATCGTAGAGGTTTTCCCAACAGCCATCTCCTAGCACTTTTCGAGATTTCACAATGACTATCTCCAACAAGGATTTCATGATGTTCGTAACCGACTAAAATGAATATACGTGAATGCCTTCGTTTGAGGAGAATTGACCCTGCCACCTTTGGACCTAATAAAGTAGCTTGGTTTCCCTGACCAGATGAAGTAGAAGATGTATGTGGACACCTTCGATCCGGAGCTCAAGGCGGGGTTCAACAAACTTTGGAATTACACTTAGCTACGATGCTTTGGAAGAACACACTCACTCAACCCAAGGCACGGGCTATTAGCACTAGGGGTGTTAAAAAATATTTGATTCGAATCTCGGCTAATTCCATAAAAAAAGATATTCGATTTGATATTTTAACTTTTGAATGTTTCGAATCAGATGTCTGGAAAAAATCGGATTGGGTATGGAATGAAACATTAAGATTTCATATATCCATGGATATCCGAAGTTCATATTTCAAAAAAATAAATTTAAAAATAAAGTTCATACAACCTAAGCCCAATTCATCGTTATCATCATAAATCTTTAAATCTAAGCCTAAATCATGTTTTTTTACTCTGGGCTTTTTGCAATGCTTTATTTGTCAATTATGTAGATATTCTTTTTCCATACATTTAAAAAATTACAAGTTATAATAGCACTATTAAGGTAACTATGACATTTAAAATACATTTGCGTTCATATTCAAGTATAATTTTTAAGAATTATTAGAAAAATAAAAAAAATCAAAAAAATAAATATAAATTTTTTATCCGATTCAAAATTTTAGATGTCTGAAAGTCATTCCAAATAATTTTTAAGAATTATTAGAAAAAATAAAAAAATAAAAAAATCAAAAAAATAAATATAAATTTTTTATCCGATTCAAAATTTTGGATATCCGAAAGTCGGGCATCCGGCAATTTTTGAATCAGACATGAAATAGATATTTGTCGATCCGAAAATTTCAAATATGCAAATAACCGGATTGGATCGAATATATCTAAATGAACACCGGGCTAGAGCCATTTTTCTACTTGAGTGGAGTTCGGCCTTTTCTCCTATTCTAAGAGTCGGAGTGAGTAGTCTAGACCTGACAAAAAATAACCCAACCTGTTTTTGACGCGAAACCCGATCTGAAAACACTGAGTTTTGAACAAAGGTTTTGATGACCGAACCCGAAGTTGACTGAACCCGAAATGACATGCTAAAAATGGGTCAAACCCGACCGAATCCGAACCCGACCTGACCGACCCGCTAAAGTAAGTATTTTCCAAAATCATACACTTTACTACTCGTTTTTAGTGTATATATTTATATTTTTAGACAAAATTTTAATGATATTGCATAATTATCTTACTTTTTTCAAAACTTAAACATTTTTTTAAATTCCTTATATTGATATATATATCTAAAAATTACTTCAGAATTTAAAATAAAATAATCTAATAGATTTAATACTTTCTTTTGATATTTTAAAATTATTAAATAGAAAATGTAAGTGTTAATTTGAATTTAAAAATTTAAAAAACCAAAGTTATAACCCGTTGGGTCGACCCGAATCCGTTGACACTGGGTCATGAATATACAGTTCGCAACCCGAACTCGAAGTGACCGAACCGAACCCGACCTGACCGACCGATTTGCCAGTTCTAAGTCGGACGCATGATTGTTTCAAAATAAAGAAAAAAAGAATTAGCCCCACGAGAATCTTCTCACACTCTATCGGATGGTAGCTGAAAGAAAGTAAATTAGACTTTGATTTTAGATTAGTAACAGGACTCTATGCTTAACATAGTTACATCACAACGCAATTATCAGGAATCGAACTCGAGTCTACTTCCTTGACACTCCCTACCTTTACCAACTGACTCCCTACCTCTGCCAACTGCGCAACGCCCTCCGGCGCATGATGGTTTCAAAAACTCGCTCAGGCTTGGTAACCCACCGAGGTCAACCTCGGTTTTTTTCTTATCAGGATTTTCTTTTAATTTGTTTATATATCAAAAAAGCTAATTACACGCTCTATTGCAATTTACACTGTCTCATTTTGATTTATGATATTTGACCAAAATTATTTTTAATTTAATTTATTTGAATAATACATTCCCCTTGACATAGTGCCACCAAAAAAACTCTTACTTCCTCCATTTGCAAAACATTTCTTGTTTTCATTTTTTATAAAAAAAACAGTAGAAATTTGAGCAAGGTGAAACCAGAACAATTGAAACGAGGTGGTTGGAGTAGGTTGGGTTAGATTGAAAAGTAAGGGCAATTAAGTCTATTTGGACAAAATTAAATTTTTTATGCAATATATAAGATGAGAAAATTGAAAATTTTTACGAGACAGAAGTACATTTTACCAATTTATTTCATACTCCCGTCTAATTTGGAACTTCTCACACTTTGCACAGGTTTTTTTATGTAAGATTAAAAAAAAGTTGCTGCATTGCCATATTTGTCCTTTTCAGTTACTCTATATCTCTAGTGTATATTTTCCTTCATCCCCGCCTACCCATGATGCCCTGCCTTCCATGTTCAAACCCAAACATCTTCTTCTTCAACCTCAAATCCGTCCACGCCTCTTTGACAACCCAGACGCATCCCACATGCAACACAAGGAAATTATAATCAAAACACAAAAACAATATAAAAAAAATTAACCCCATTGCTCTGAGAAATGAAATTTATGTTTACGCCAAAAAATTAGGGGGGAAAATGTGAAGAGAAGATGGCGACCAAAAAATCGAATTTCAAACCTAGGGTTCGTATCCAAATATTGAATATGATATCCAGGTTTTTTCCGTCGTTGCCCTTTCATCGCTACCCCTGTCTATGTGCATCTTAGCCATTGCCCCTTCTTCTCTGCATAGGTGGGTCGTTCGAAGAAGAAAAAGAAAAGAGAGAAGAATAAATAGGTGGGGTGGATGGGACTGACAACGGAGAAAGAAGAAAAAGAGAACTGGAGGTGGGTGAACAAAGAAAGAAAAAGATAAGAAATGGGTGTCTCAATGCGAAAGAGAACGAAGGGAGAAGAAAAAAGGGTGGGGGTGTGTGTATTTGGTAAGGGCGAAATGGTCTTTTCATTCTAATTTTACTTCTATTTATAAAAATAAGGAATATAATGGACAATCCAAAAAGAAAGTAAGAAGAGAGAGAGTGGACAGAGAGAGTATTATTTACGGGGTACTTCGTATCATCTTTATCATACTATATATTCAAGCCAAAGACCTTATAGTCTATTAGCACCGCTATGACTCTCCCAAATGGGAGGTCATGTCTTCGAAATTTGAATCCTTGTAGTGACAATGCCTTTAATAAGTTGGAAATGTACAGACATATACTACCTTGTAATAAAAATCATACTATATCAAATGTGGGGTTCCCCCCAACATGGTTCTTCACTTTAATGTCATTGCTTAACATTCATACAAATTCCCACCCTCCCCAAGTCCCCACCCACACTCCAGGTTTAGTCTATGTAAGTGTCAAAAGCGACATCACGGGTCGGTCATTCTTAGACCGAGTGCGAGCAAACCCTCAACAATATCTTGTGTAACCAAGCCACCACCCTCCCTCTCTTCCCCACATTTGAGCAAGCAATATGACCAAAACTGAATATTAATAGTTGGTACCTTTTTTTTCTTTCGTTGGATTCTCCAAACAAATGGTCTTTTAATCCCCTGCAAGATTCTTGGAAGGTTATATGACATTGCAGCGGCTGAAATGCAGGCTATAAGCATGTCATATACACTTTGTAGTAATACAATATATAAATTCAATGAAAAGTAAATTGTGTTAGCTACTCTTGGTAAAAACATTAAAAAAAGAAGAAAAATTCCAAGGGCTTTCCAGTGCAGCTGACTACATCACACCCTAATGGTGTGACCCTTTCTTGGACCCTAGCTCAGTGAGGATGCTTTGTGCACTCGACTGCATATTCAATAAGAGTGATTAATTTATGGTATAAAATTTACCCTTGATTGCCTCTATAATCGGGGAAACAAGTTTCACATCCTTTAGGCATTTATTTGGTGCCTCACTCGTCATTAGCATCGACATCTTCATTCAGCTTTTCGCTGCCATCGTCATCACCTCTGTCAATATCCTGCTTCTGCAACGGTTCATCTTCCTCCTCTGATTCAGACCACTCATGTCCCTTCCTCTTCACATTTGATGGAGGTTGAGACTGCATCAATCAAAACATTGACAGTAAAAATTGATTACATGTGAGCATATGATAACAACAAAAATCTGTCTATATGGAAGATGAAAGAATTACTGCATCATAATCCTCAGCATCAGAATCTTCAAGCCCAGCTGCTGCAAGCAGATCCTGTGGGTTGTTCTCTTCTGCTTCAACGTTTTCGTGATCTTTGTAATTCATATTGGCATCTCCATACATATCCTCTTGATCATCCATAAATGCATCCTCAGAATCATAGCGAGATTTATTGTCCCTCTTTCTGCGCTTCCCGCCTTTTCTCCTCCTACGGTCACCATTGCCCCCCTCTTCATCTCCAGCGTGGGACCTGTCCTTTCTCTTAGAGCCAGGAGTGCTACTTTTCCATTGTTCCTTAACAAAGACCCAAAATGTAAGGCCTGAATTCATATGGGGGGGCGGGGAGGGGGACGGGGAGGGAAATGTAAAAGAAAAAAATGAAAGAAAGTTCATAACACATGAAGAAAAGTTCAGATAATATTTTTAAGGAACACACCATAGTTTCATTTGGAACAAGTGTTTAATTAAATAATAAATATGCGATCTTTCAAGAATTATCTTAAGTACATACTCCTACAATATCTAACAAACATCCAACTACAGCACTGCTGAATTATTGGTCACCTGGAACTATAACCATTTAGTGCATTGTGTCCAAAAAATGCATAGACTTATAGCATATGGGAGGACTATAAAGCATCAATGAAATATCAAAATAATAAGGAAAGATGAAATCTGCAAACAGCTTCACAGAGAAGTATAGAACTGAGGCAGATAATTACCTTTTTGCGCAATAGGTGTTCTTCTTGTTGCATCACTTGCTTAAGTTCGTCCTCCTGTTTCCGTCTCTCCATCTGTTATTTCAGAGATTGAATATGAAAAATACAGAGCAATTCAAGATATCTGTAACATGTAAGAATGCTTAAACATTTACGCTGTGCTAATATATTGGCATTTACTTGGTATTTTTTCTGTTCCTCGGCTTTTCTTTCATTTTCCTCAGTCACGACAACCTGACGTGCAAGTTCTCGCATCGCTCGAATCTGTTGATCTTCTAGCTCTGCTGCCTCACAATGGACCTTTGCCGCCTCAAGCAAGAGCTTGCAATAGTCAACATGAGTTTCAATCTTTTTCTCATCAAACCCATGAAGGTGAAGATTTGAAGCAGTAGATAACATGCTGAATAACCGAACAGCATTATTAAGCTCTTCAACAGTTGACCTCACCTTCCTCAAAAAAAACAAATAAATAAGTCAATGAGATAGAATTTTCTATATGGTCATAAACTTGAATGAATGGAATTAACTTTGATAGTTCCCTTGACCCATCATGTTCCGCTGGAAAGCTGCTTATCAAGTACTAACACTTAATAGGAGGGGGAAGTGAGAAATGCTAATGTCTTAACAGGTAAGGAAGAAGGCATAAAAAGAAAGGAGGGTTTGTTTGGAAAACCTCTTCAACAGTCCTCTTTGTCTTCTGTAAGGTTGAAGCTGAGAACTTTTGCAATGCTACTCCCGCATCAAATCTTAAAGTATAATTTGAAGGTGACAAGTGAATGGCTCTTAACAGAGACTTTTTGCAGTCCTGCCACTGCTCAGCTTCATAATGTGTTCTTGCTAAATAGAGAAGCACCTGACTGTCGGTATTGTAATAAAATTTCCTCAAGCAATTCTGATACTGCGAAATTCCAAAACCATCAGAGCGTAAGGCATAAAGTTTAAAAGAATTAACTTTCTCCGTTAAAGAAGTTAATAGAAGACAAACCATTTTCACTGCAAGTGCAAAGTTTCCTTGGGCGAAGTGAACATGTGCAAGATTAATCCATACATCTGGCATTTGGACAAAAATGTTCCCACTTGCTGCTTCTTGAACCTGCAAGAATGGACGGTCAAAAAATTATAACCCATGATTTTTTTTCCAAGTGTAACAAAGTACGGAGTATAAAATTTTAACCTGAGTGAAAAGATCCTTTGAAATATCAAATTGACCTTTTTCTGCCAAAATAACACCAGTGCCATTTGCTGCATATAGACTAGAGTGCTGCTGAGAGAGAACCTGGTAGAATATGGCATCTTAGTATACAACAGTATGAGACTATTAAAAAGAACCCCTGATAAGAGGAATACTCAAAATTCTTTAACCAACAAGTGATGAAAGATAGAAGATTTATGGACCCATTTGTTCATTAAACGCTTTTTGCACATTATTATTCAGGCCAGCATATTATATTTCATGCATGCAAGAATCAGGAGTAGAACACAATCATGAAAATGACTATGTGGTGCACCAAGTAATACTTTTGTATAGAGTTCCTTAGCCTTCTCCAGATGTGTAGCTTCCAATTTGGGAGCTCTTTTCTCGTTGCGAATTGCAGCAAAGTAGTTCCAGTTTCCCTTAAAATGTCAAAAAAAAAACAATGAGCTTATGTAGTATGCCCAGTATCAAGTAGAAGCAAGAGTGATGAAGTTGATCATTTCTAATACCATCATAGTACTTGAATATCATGATGGAATTATTTGTTACTTCACACTTCACTACAATCAGATAAGGACCTTTAAATAAGAGGCCAGTTACGAAGAGTCAATAAAACAATTCCCCTCTTTTGGGTAGGTTCAGACGGAGTTGAATACGGAGTATAAGACAAACTAAAGATCATGCTCTACTTCAAAAAAAATGTTCTACTCATCAAGGTTTACAAAAGAGATGATACAAACTACTTTAGAGATTAATACATCATCGTAACCTACTCTACAGACTACATGACTAATACATCATCAACATTTGTAATGAGCTAGAAATTACAGCTAAATAGTTATCTAATATCTGCAGATAGATAAAAAATTCTTATAAACATATGAGGTATATTATATCAAAGATAGTGTGCACAATTTCATACCAGACAAAGAGTAGCATAAGATTCAGGTCCATTGGTCACATCCTTAGCCACCCGAAATGTTTCTTTTGCCTTGACCCAATCATCATTCTTAATTTCAAGGTTCCCAAGCATTAACAATGCATTTGGGCACTTATCATCCACTTTGAGAGCATGACCAATCTATGAACCAAAGTGTCTTGCATTAATGAGATGGAATTAAATAAAAGGGCAGAAAAGTAGAGTGACGCAGTAGAGCTGTTAGAGGAACAACCAGCTCAAGGCTAAGTTGAACATTGTTTCGGGCTATGGCTATTGCAGCAAGTCTCAAATAGGCATCTACATAATCTGGATACTGAAACCAAATAAAATGATGAAAATACTGTATTAGTAACAAATGAACAATACAAAAGAAGAAAAAAACTAACAGACAATATAAACTATATGCATTTCATCACTGCAAGATTATACAGAATAGAAAAGACAACGGCGCTGATGTGGAAGTCAACACCCTAGCCGCTGCAGTGCTCAATCGAGGGTTGAGAACTCAAGATCACTCCATCTAGGTTGCCGCCAGGATAATCATGAACGCTGAATTCAGTAGAAGCTGTTTCAAGTTCACAGATGTTAGATTGAAGGGATTATAACTCAGCACCGTCGGTCGAACACTACAGCAGCAGCAGCCAGTGCCCCCCTCCCCCACATCAACCAATGCATCATCAGAGTAAAGTAACACCAGTAATATCACATGATGGTATATTCGCAGCCTCAATGTCCAGAAAGTTCGCTATGTCTAGCAGTTTTCCGTTCAAAACCATATACTCCCTCCGTCCCTAAATAAACTTCCCCTTTCGTTTTTTCTTTGTCCCCAAATAAACTTCTCTTTTCCCTTAAAAAACCCCTTTTACCCCTTACTTTTTCATACCCTACCTATCACATCATACCTTTTTACTAATAATCTACATATCACATCTTACTTTTACACATCACATCAAGGGTATTTTTGGAAAGTCAACACAAAAATATCCCTCCCTTAAATCCTCAAAAAGTCAAAAAAGGAAGTTTATTTAGGGACGGAGGGAGTATATATTATAAAAAAGAAGATCTACCCAGCATTCAATTCTGTCTGGTACACCTTTCAAGGAAAATACCACCATTGTTCGCATGTTTTATTTACTTAAGCTAAGGATGAAAAACCTTATGAAAAAACAAGCCCAGAACTACTAGATTCATTCTTAATGCATCATTACCATCATTATATAAAATATTAAACACATGTGCTCACCTTAAACAAGATCAAGCGGTAAAAGATACTAGCTGTTTCTGTGTCATATAGCTGTTCTAGTAATCTTGCATGGTTAAAAAGTACAGAAACTTTATTCCAGGGAAGTTCTACAGCAATGCCCTGTTCCTCAAGTTTGCAAAACATTTGGATGTCTTTGTATTGATGGATGGATGCACTGGCATCCATTGGATATTGCACACTTTTGAAAAGATCGCATGATACTTCACCATTGGAATGTTGAAGACCTTCACAGTTAGGAACGTTCACATTAGCATCAGACTGCAGTTTGGCACCAAGGAACTTGCACCATATGCCATCACCTAGAGCATCCCTAAAACTTTGTCCTGCAAGCTGAAAGTCAACAGACAATTCAGTTGTTCAAATTAATGAACAACCAAAGAGTATTTTCTACATGTTGAATTATTAATATAAGTTCAAGCCTGCATGCAACTACTAGCACATATAGCAAAATAAAACTGAAGCTGGTATCGAACCTCAAGTTCTCCTCTTTCAAACTGAAGGACGCCAATGTCATTGAGTAGCTCAATAGGTACTTTCTCATTTGCCTTTTTCAATAGATTACGTGCCTGCACAAGAATTTATATTTAATCATCCTATAGTGTGAATATTATCAATTGGAAGAAAATACAACTAACAAAACTAAAAACTATTTTGCAGGCACTTCATAAAGCTAAATTACCACTTCTTGGTGCATGAAAAAAAAGGAGGGAGAGAAAGAAGAGCGCACACACAGCAGTGTGCGACTGTGCATGAGGTCTTACCCATCCAAGTCCTCGACAAGTGTTAATCTAAGATGCGTGATTGGGAAGTTCAATTTTCCATTACAGAATTTTCAACATAGCACAGATGCAAAATTAAAAAATAAAAAATCCCATCATGCTAGAAATAATACTCCCTCCAAAAATGATAATTATATACAGAATAAAAAAATTATAATGATCACTAAGAAGTAGAAACCAAGGCAAGTCCATAAATACAGAGGCTAAGAATCTTACTGTTTTAAAGGCATCTAAAGCAGCACCTGCATCTGTTGAAATTAACAGTTCACCAAGATCCAAAAATGCCTATTAAGAATCCAAATGAATACACTATCAACACAAATAAAATTTTAGGAATTATTACATTTACATAACCAGATAAAAGTGCATTAGATGGTGCCACATGAAACATTTTAATTCAATAGAACTGGGGACTATCTATGAAAATATGTAAACATTATGTCTTATTAAACATGAGAAAATATGTAAACATTATGTCTTATTAAACATGACTCATACAATGTTTGAAAACAAGCACGCCTTATGAAGTAAATTGCTGCTGTAGTACATTCAATATTTGCAAAATGCACCGCACTAATGACTTGCAATCCTGCATACTACGTATGGTAGAACAGAAAAGTGCTCACATACGATTAAGGAATGATATGATCGGACTACAAGGGAACAAGTCCAACACTCAGATAGCTGTATGAGAGAAACAAGCCTTTGTGCCACTGTAGAATTTAAAACTGATAAAAACAACTACAACCGCTTCTTTTAGACAAAAGGAAAAGTGGTTTGTGTATCCTCTATTTTCCTTTTGGTAAAGTTGCAAATGTTTAATTTCTTCAGAGAAGCCTTTTATCCTCATCCTCTATTTTCCTTTTGGCTGCCCATCCTCATGGTAAGCAGCGCCTCTTAAATTGTTAGAAAGAAATTTCATATGACAGGATAATAACCTGAGGATCACGAGGATCAACTTTGGTGGCTTTCCTTAAATACTCCAAACCTTTCTCTGGTTGCCCAAGTTGCACATAAATGTGGGAAAGAGACTATGCCAAACACAGGTGAGTTAGACTTGCAAAAGAAGGGAGAAAAGTGGAGCAGATTCAAGGATGAAAATGAGCCAAATACCTCATAGAACTTACTTTAAGTGTCTCACAGTTCTCTGGATAACCCTCCAATACCTTTTCAAAATTTGAAAGTGAACTCCTAAGATCTCCCAATTTCAGTTGAACTTGGGCAAGCCCTATCACAAGGGATGAAACACGAGTAAGCAGAAAATGAGCAAGGCCCACTTTCTCAAGCCTTGCACTGTCATGTTGCAATGCACTTCCTCTCCCTAAATACCCGTCCAGATATGGTGTAAAGTGTGTATATGCTGTGCACAGTTTCATTGAGAACATAGAGCATTGAACGATGGTAATATTATATGTATCATCCTATTAACATATGTTAAACCGAATATCATTTTTTAGGTGATATGAAATACATGGTATTAGTTATTTCATTGTTTCGATAGTGAATGACACATGATCATTCTGGTAGAAAGTTTTCAGAGAAACCAATGTAGCAAATTATAGCAAAAATATTCGTGCTGAAATTGGGGATCCATCATCACCAGCAACTTAATCCCAATGAGTTGGCGCCAGTGCCCAGTGGTATGAAATTCAATGTTAATTAATTTTGTTAACAAGCTGTCACTATTAATTGTTTCTGTCAGACTATTGCTATTAATGAAGAGTGTTTCTGTGTCTGTGTGCGCACCAAGGAAGTAGAGATAAATAACTCAAGGGCATAGTATTCACTGGGTGTTGAATAAACGAGGAGTCTAACTATGAAAACAAAAAGGTAACTGAACATAATAATCACAGGTCCATTGTTCACACGAAGAATATTAACACCTAAGACTAAAAGAAGCTATAAAATGTTGTGGTAGAATTTACAATACAAATAAGAAAGAATAGCCGGGGTACCATAATAGGGCAATACAAATTCTTGTGGCTTGTTGATTTCTTTTACTGATGCCATATAGTACATTCCAGCTTTTTCGTAGTCTCCCTGAGTCAGTAAAAATGTACCTATCATTAGGATATTGAATCAGAAAATCAATTCCTACCACAGGCAAAGATGCATAATTTTTCAAGTTGATGGTATAACTGTTATTATTCAAGTTAGTATTAATCTTAACCATAGTAAGCCCACTAAACTGTGGTATGCAAAAGCTAAGTAATATAGAAATTGGAGAATTTGTGTTTGTTGGCTGACCAATTGAACCCAAAAGAAACACCAAAATCAGTCAAGAAGAGACATTGAAATCTTTATTCACATTTAATTAGATAAACAAATCAAGAAAGTAAAAACAAAGTGTGTGTTTACTGACTAGACTATTCCTTTTGTGAAAATCTAAAACATGAAATGAAAAAACAGAGTTTTCTGTTTATGATCAAGGGAACAGTTGCTTTTAAACCCCCAGTTGCACAGAAAGAAATTAAAGCAACGCAATCCCTCAGTTATACATGTCACTACATTTAGTCCGTGACATATCAGTGGTTTGGCAGTATTAGCCGTTGAATTGCTGAAAACTTTACGCCTGACTTTAAAATTCTAAACCCCTATATGTTTGTTGTTTTTTAATAATTTTAAAATTTTCTTCTTAATAATACAGAATCCTAATAGTAATCCAAAACGACAACCTTCATGTATGATTGGAAATACCGTGGAGGTCTGCTACAATGTTGGCAACTTATGGAATAGATGCAGTGACAGATTAAATCGACTTGCTCCCCACAACCAAGGGGTCAAAAATGTCATTTTCCATTAATCAATCATTTCTCAATATAAAATGTAATAGAAAAACATTGTGTTTTCCAAAATTTTGCAAATAGAAAAACATGCATGACTTTGCCTTACTAATAACTTAACTGTATAAAAACAGTCACCGGCAGTAGATACACACACACACACACACAAACAAACACACACACACACACATATATACACACACACTGGCACAAAGTTTAAGAAAATAAAATTGCGGTTGAGATTAGTGTAGAAAGGAATGGAAGGGTATGAACCACCTCATTTCATACTTAAAAGGAAAAAGAAAATCCTTAGGGACAGCCCAAAAAGAAAAGTAGGAATATACAAAGGGGACAGAGAAAGTACTAAAAAATGATGCATTCATACCCCTATGTCCCCAATTCCCAATATAGTGTTCCCATTAGCTTTTGGCACAAACATTTAGGCATTTGTTTCGAGCCACAAATTTTGTGTGAAGTGGGCAGTCACTTTCTTAGAGCTGCAAAACTTTTCTTCAAAAAGGAATGAGAAGCTTATCGAGCCAAAAGAGGAAAGTAGGAATCTAATTTTGGGCGGAAGGAGTAGGTTTGAAGGTGAATGGTTACTAAGGCCCTGTTCTTTTGGGTTGGAAAAATTAACTTCCAACTTTTTCCAACTCCTTCCAGTTCCTTCCAACTTCGACCAGTTTCATCCAACGATTTAAAAAAGATATTTATATATGATGAACATACAATAACATTATATATCCAAATTTATAACATACCACCTCAAGCACGGACAAGAATGAATTCTTCTTTATCCAAAATTAGATTTTTCTTACATATTTATTTGGGTGATCATTTAATTGAGATTTTAGAACACTTTAATTTTTTCAACATTTTCCAACTCCTTCCCGTTATTTTCAACTCCTTCCAGTTTCTTCCAACATCCAACTCTGAAATTCCAACCCAAAAGAACAAGGTCTAAGTCTATGATATGATAATGATAATCAGGCTGATATTCACATTTTGAATAATCAATTTTTTCATGAATGGACCATTGGACCAAGCATATAAGACTATAGGAGTGTGTTGTCATTTGCACACAATGTTTGCTCTCTACTGCATATGTCCAAATGGAGGTAAAAGAACAAGCTTGATCCCAAAATGACTTCAAAGGAATCAGAGTAAATGAATTTGTAACAAACTGAACATGATCCAATACATATGTTACAATTTTAGGGTTTAGACCTTACCCCTACTAGGAAGTAGAGAGACCATCTCCAAGAGACCCCAACTCAAACAAGAGAACTCCTTATACACAATGAGCATGAAATAAATATGGAGTACTTCTCCATGATTAACAAGAGCTTGGAAAATAATTACTTTTGAACATTGAACACATTTTCTAGTCTTCCAAATTCTAATAGCAAATAAAAGTTTGGGAAACTGTAGATGGAAAATACTCCATAGAAAATAGTGTTTGTTACGGTTGAATTCCAGACATAGAAAAATTTGTGCCCTTACATTAAGCTACTTCTAAGGTCTCATATATAGGAATTTAATTACATGGGTCAAGAAAACTAACCCCTCTATATGGGGAGCATGGTGTATACAAAGATGACAAAAGAACGAAAGAAAAGAAAGAAAAGCTAGTTTACATCTTGTCCATACTTTGTATGTATTGCTAAATACGGAGTACATATTAACAGCCACTTTACACACAAAACATATATCAATGGTAACTAAACAAGGCTAACTTTCTAAATATACTCAAGTAAATATTGTTCATAAACAAGCCTATGTTTCTAAACTATGCTTAAGCTATCAAAGTAAAATATCAATGAAATAGAGCACTCAAGTGTCACAATACCTCCACACCAATAAAGGGGATAATGTAAGGCACCATAATAGAAGATGTTAAAAGGATTATACCAACAAAAAATTTGTAAGGTGACAGAATTAAGATTGATTGGAGGATGAAACATGAACCTTGCTATGATACGAGCGTGCCAAATTGTAGTAAGAATGTGACTTAGTTGGCCCATGATTAGTAACAGCAAGTGCAGTTTCAGTGAGTTGCTCGACAAGAAAATGTTGGCCGGTGAAGAAAAAATGATTGGCCAAGTAATTCAGTGACATCGCACAATAAGGATATATCTCAAAAGCTCTTTGCATCTTTTCCATTCCACTTCTAATGTCACCAGCTGTTCAAAGACATTACACGGATATCAGATAAGATGAATAATATGACATCTTGTTTAGAGGCTAATGAATCCAGAATAACCAAAAACACGGAAACAGGACACAAGGTAATCCATTCTTTATTCTTCTACATCATTACACTGATCCGGTTGATGAACTGATTCTCACCTTCATCCGTTTGCAAATCTAGAATAGCAAGTGCAACAAGAGCCTCCACATTTTCTGGATCTAACTACAATTGCAGAATCATTGTGATGATAAGAAAAAGGTCGATGTCACGTTCAAAAAAATGCATTAAATATGGTTTGATAATCAAATTTTCAATCAACAAGCCAAGGTTAACTTGCCTCCAAGACACGCTGAAATGCTTGCTTTGCCTTTAGAAATTGACCCAACTTATATCGGCAAAGACCAATTCCAAGTCTAACAGCAGCCGGACATTGAGGATACACCTGCAGAGCCCTCTGACCAAAGTATATAGATGACAAAAAAATCATTACAAAGAAACTATAATTTCACCCAAGATCCTTTGACTTAATTAGTTGAAGGAATTATTTTCAATCCGGGGTCTAAAGCAAAATTTTTTAAAAATTAAATACTAAATGAATATGGAGAATTAAGCAAACCTTGTATAATTCCAATGAATCTGAAAACTTTCCCCGACTAAATTGAACACATGCCTGACGGCAGGTAAGTAGTCATCAATGAATATGAAAGCCAAACAGATATTCAAGTCATCAAACAATCTAACAGCCTCAGTGTGCATAACGCCATAACCTATTAAACCAAATGAAGCTGTGAAATATATTAAACAAAAAATATGAACTGATAATACCTGACCAAGGAGGGCAGGAACATTGTCTCGATCTCCATCCAATACAATCTTGAAGGCAGCAAATGCCTGTTCTATATCTCCTTTAGCCAGTAAAAGCTGACCTGTAAAGAAGACATATATAGCCAGTCATTCTGACATCTTCTGACAGCTAACATTTCAACCCTATCCCGTTGATACTATCCCGGATCAATAATTTCGCTTTTACCTTTCCCAACCCAGGTAGAAGGCTCGTGGATGTCAATCCGTGATGCTTTATTATAGTACTGAGTTGCCATTATAAAATGATCCTCCTTTTCTCTATGTTTTGTCTCGATCTTCCCGAGATAGCTATAATATGCCCCCAATGCATTTAAAATTGCAATTCGATCATACCTCACATCAGCGTAATATTCATCAATTTCTGCATAATGGTGATCCAAATACAGGCAATTTATACACAGAAGCAATAATACCATCTAAAATTTTCAGACTGATCATTGAAGGAAGAAATAAAATAATAATAATTTCATACTCCATAATTCTCAGCAAGACAATAGATACAATAATGGATAGAATGTTAACGAAGTATTGCTCGCAGTTCACAGTTATGCAAAAACAGTACCTGGGCTAGATCCCTCCTCCAATATTTGCCGAAACTGTTCAACTTTTCCTTGTTTGAAGTACTCTCTCTGCACCGGAGCCAGAAATCGGAAAATAAAAATTTAAATGAAACAACACTAATTGCAATAAGTAGAAATAACTAAATGAGAATAAATCAGGAATCTCTATTCAGTAACAAGGAACAGAATTGATATCTCAAAAGCAGTAAAATATACATAGTGAGCTCATGCGTGCAAAGTAATGAAATTACAACCCTCCCCCCCCCCCCCCCACACACTCACACACCCACGATATTGAGTGAGTAACTCACCACCAACAACAAGCCCAGTATATTTCCAACTCCATTAGGGTCTGGGGTCAAGATGTATGCAATCTTACCAGGTTTTTTGTTAGACCCTTGATGCTTATGCAAAAAATGGCTGCTCATAAGCCTTATCCAAATTTTCCAAAATTCATTGCCCGAAACTTCATAGAGAGCTTAATGTGTTATTTTGATTTAGTACATTATTTACCCAAAGCTAAAACATTATCAAAATAACTCTCTTAGCTCCATTGGAAACGGACAGAGATTATAACTCATCTACAAGTATGATATATTGACTGAGCACGTGGAGTAAAAATTTTATGTCCATATAAAAAAAGTTAGGTTTTGAGTCACTGTTGTATTATGTCACACATGCACACTCACATGAACTTCACCGCATGTATAGGTAGACGTAGGACGTGGACACACAAAAAATTGAGACGGGCGAGTATATGATTCTAGCCACTATTGCACGTATGTAACTTCTTATATTGGTTCAAATGTATCGGATGTCCCTGAATGGATGTTCATGCGCACTTCAGTCTATATTTATACAAGTAAATACAACATAAATCGAAATGGTAAAATTGCAAAAAATGAACTTCCATACACAATTAAGAAAAATATTACAGAGTACGTAACTTAGATGAGTGAAAGGCACATGTACTAAAAAAATAACTCAAGATTCAGCAAAGCAAGCAATATGATGTCTTAAGGATTGAAACAGTACACTTTCAGCGGTAATTAGCCAAAGATAAATGCATACCCAATTGAAAAAGAAATTCGGTAAATTAGATATGTGAATGTTCACAAGTGTATGGAAACAACTAAACATTTAGCAAAGCCCTCTGTAAATGTGCATGATTGAAAGACTTTGGGCTTACAGCGATAATTAGCCAGAGATCAAGAGGAGCTTGCTCGGCTTTAAGAATGTCAAGTATATCAGAAGCGTCTCTTGGAAGCTGGTCCAGGGCAACTCGGACCTCCTCCTCCGAGTTCTGCACTGGAATGTATACGCACGCCATATGAGCTGCCTCTTTCCCAGCACTTCGAATTCAATGTCGATTTCAGGCGAAACAAAACCCTAACTTTTTCTGTGTCTGGTTCGGAAGAATGAAATCGGGTTCGGGGCAGCTGCCTCAAGAAGAAGGGATTTCCCGGAGTTGTTTCTCCGAGTAATTTTGGCGTCTAGGAATACAGATTGAAAAGTTTGGATTTGGGAACAAAGTGCTCCTATGGGCATCACTAAATAATTTTTTAAATAAATTATAAAATATCTGAAATAGAAAAACAAAAAAACAATAAAGTTTAATTTTATTTTAAATGATAGAATTTGATATGAATATAAATAGGTAAATATTAAAAAATAAAAATATAATCATTGTGGTGAAAGTGACACACTACAAGTGTGAAGTGAACGAAAATAAAACTGAGATGATGAGCGTTGTCAACTGGACTGTTTGGGAATAGCGTTAGCGATTAGAGTTAGTTTTTTGAAAAGGCTAAGCGTTTAGCGTTAGCGTTTTCAAAGTAATCTACACCGTTAAAATTTTATTCTAATCTCTAACGCTATTCCCAAACATGTCTGTTGATATGACTACTGATTTGAAGTGAGTGGGGGTGAAGCTTGGGAGGAAAGAAGAGGGAATAAGATAATGTGGAGGGAATAATGATTAGAAATAAGAGAAAAATAGAGGAGATCAAGGAAAATAGCGTTGGGAGTATTATTTTCCTAGATAGATAAAATATGTGGTTGGTCAATTGTTTTTTTATTTTTTAAATTTTATTGTACAAATGAGGTGATGACATGTGGAAAAATAATACTTTCTCTGTTGCAAAAATAATGTCACAGTTACTATTTTGGCTTTTCGATAACTTTTGATTCTTTACTCATTTTGGTTGACCATTTGATAAAATTAAATATTCTTGTCACATCTTATTACGTGGAACTTTTGATCTATTTTTGAACAGTGTAATTTTTATTTTTTCTTTTCTACCAATTTATAAATAAATTAATTTTAAAAGAGATTATTTTAGGTATTGTTTGAAATGTTGCAAACGACGGCGGGAATAATAGATATTAGATATAAGGAAATGATTAGAAAATGACGAGCAAAGTTGATGAAAAAGTCATTTGAAAGGAAATAGAAAAGAATGAGTAGTGATTGTCTAAGAACATCTTTACTGCTCCGTAATTTCTTTCACTTTCCTCCATTTCTCCTATTTCACGGCCACATCACATTCTCTTTTAATTTTTCTCACACTATTTTAATAGTTTCTCCCACTTTTCGTTTTTTATGGTGGATCCAAATGTCATAAATCTATTTTTTTTAAAAAAATCAATCATCTTGATATTTTATAATAAGTTTATTTTATATACACAAATTTTATCATACTAAATCAAAATAGGTTATTTTAAAATAAGTAATGTAAATTTATGGAGTATTTTTTGTTTTAAAAAAATATACATGCCACAAAAAATGAGACTTAATAAAAAAAATAGTTTAAAAAATCATATCATTGTTAAAAAATCAACCTAATTTTTTTCTTCTTTTTTTCATCTTTATTTTTTTCCTCTTTTCTTCTTTCTTTCTTTTCTTTCTTCTTTTTTTTCTTTCTATTTTTTTCTTTCTTCTTTTTCTCCCTTTCTCTCCTCCTCCTCTTTTCTCTCTTCTTCCCGAGGTAATGTACATTCCCCCTTCCCTTCTCTCCTTTCCTATGTCTGCTTTAATCATTCTCTCACTTTCCCTTTTCCACATCACCAAGGGGTGTTTGTTTTTCTGCAGGAAAAGGTCAGTGGTCTGCGGACCACTACTGTAGACATATGCAGGAGAAGTGATGGACCGAAGGTCTGCGGTGTGCAAGAAGAAGACTGTTTGTTTTTTTAATGTTTGTAGACTGCTATATAAATTAATAGTGGTAGTGTATGATGGTGGTGTATGGACGATTGTGGTGGTGGTGGAGGGTGGTGGTGGACGTTGACGGCGGTGGTGGTGGACGGTGGTGGTGGTGGCGGTGGATGGTGGCGGTGGTGGTGGACGACGATGGTGATGGTGGACGGTGGCGGTGGACGGTTGTGGTGGTGAAGAGAAGTAGAAAAAAAGGAGATGTTAGAAGACATTGGTTAATGTCTCTTCCAAGAATATGCCAGAAAGACCTTTTTGAGTGAAATGTCTTCCAAAAAACAAACAATCTGCAGAGCCCATCATCTGCGCGCGTTTGCGCGGCGCAGACAGAAGACGCCAGAAGGTCTTCTGGCAGAAAAGCAAACACTCCCCAATTCTCAACCATTCTCCTTTTAATAAGAGTTGCTCTAGAGATATCACCAAATAAGAAGAAAAAAGAGGGGGATATGATGATGTGGAGGGAGAAAAGGAGAAGAATGATTTGAAAGAGACGGAGAAGAGGAAAGAGATTAGCATGTAGGAATAAAATTTCCCTAGACAAAAAAATATGTGATTGGCCAACTGTTTTTAATTTTTAATTTTTTTTTGTACAAACGAGAAGATGACTTGTGAAAAAACATTAAAAAAGAGAGGAATTATCAGAGAAAGATGGATAAAATGAAATAGTAAGTGATGTGGCATTGGAAATAGATAATGTGAGAGGGGAACAGATGAACAATGACACCTCCTTTCTTTTTTCTTGTTTTTCTATTTTGTTCTCTTTTCACATAAATGTCTATAAACTATTTTTCAGAATTATTTTAAAAAATGTTTAAACAATAAAAATAGTTTAAAATAAAGAATGAAATAGAAAACTAGCATTACTTCATTTATCTCAAATGGGATATTTTCATTTTTTTGTCTAAAGAAAGTTCTTATTTTTTAATCAGTTGGGACCAAAAGAACACACAGTAGAGTTTTATTTAAATTGGTGCTCAATAAAGTTCCTTCGTGACATAATATTCCTTTTTTATAAAAGTATTTTTTTCATACACTTTTTTTATTCATTAGATGTTCTATTCTTTTTTCTTTTATTTTTATTTTGATTAAAAAAAAACATTGTAAAATTAGTTTTAAAAAATTAAAGAGAGAAAAGAATTAAAAAAAGAAGCCAGCAAATAAACAAAAATGGGGAAATGAGCTTCAGCGAAAAAAAGAGAAAATCTTTCATTGTTTTTTTGTTTGATGGAAATGAATAAATAATGACCTTTTTTGGTCAAAAAATTAAAATGTTTAATTTGTGACAAATGAAGTATATGTTAATTTTTTCTTTCATTGATTTTTTACTTGAAACACACAAAATTTTGAATTTTAAAACAATATAAAAATATGTTTTAAAAACTTAAAATTGCTTATGAAAAAATAAAAGAAAAAAGAAACACAATGAGGAGAAAGGTGGCTTTGGTGCCCATTTCTAAAAAGTTGGGGAGGGAGGATTTAAATAGTTTTTAGATATGACTGTTTCACACTTGTCTGGATATTATTCTAAGTGACAGGAACATATGCTCATTCCGCTTCCACCATTCGAAAACATCGAACTCGCTATCGTTGTCTTTATCGCAGTTGTATGAGACGTCTTGGTACCACTACAAGAAAACGCGAAAAAGGATGACGGAAAATGGCGACAGAATATATTCCGTCGCCAATAGTGACGGAATCAGCGACGGATTGGAGATGACTACCAGATTTAACGACGGAAACTAACTTCCGTCGTTAAGTAGACGCGGGAAGGGGTGCGTGCCACGTTTGACGAGAGAATTGGCGACGGTAGCGACGGAAAAAAACCGTCGCCATTAAGAACATTTTTAATACGATTCAAAACGGCACCGTTTTTTTAGCGACGGAAATATTCCGCCGCGACATTCCGTCGCTCCATTTTAATTGAAAAACTGGATATCTTCTTTTCCAGACAGAAACCATCGAACACCAAAACCAGAAGCAAGTCCGTCCGTCCCATCGCCGTTGCTCGCCCTCCAGGTCGTCGCCGCTACTCGCCGTCCACCTCGCCGCCTAATGCCACCGTTCACCGTCCCATCGCCACCGTCGCCGGCCACCTTGTGCCGATTTCTATCCACAAATCTCAGGTTTCCTTCAATTTTATTTTACAATTGATATTGTAAAAAATTTCAATTATAGATTTTTTTTCCTTGGATACACATTTATTATTGTTTTGATGATATGAATAGAAAATATATTATTATATGTAAATTATTTAACATTTTCTTCTAAATTTGAACATTCTTGAAATTAGGGGTTTTTCCCCCAAAATTTTGTCATTTTGTTTTTAAAAATTCATTATATGCTTGAAACATAAAAGGATTATCAATTATTGAAATTAGGGTGTAATGAATGACTATTATGCGTATTAATTGTTTCATGTATAATTTTAGATATTGTAAATGTTATAAAAAGATTATGTACGTATAATGTATGTTGTTGAATATTGTACGTAGGTGTTGTATTTATATTAATTTTTTAGTTTTTTGTAATGAATTCTATAGTTTAATAGTATGTCAATTAGGAATGAGAAGAAAGGAACAGAGAAGGTGCAGCCACTTATACCGCAATCGTGGAAGGAGGTATTTCTAAATATCTTTTGAATTGATGAGTTATGTTATACGTATTAGCATCAAATTCTGTGTATATATTTGTATTCTTGTATTTATACGTTGTTAAACAGTATTGGAAGTCACCAAAGTTCTTGGCACGCACACCGGTGGTCCATTATCTTTTCGCGAGTCTCAAGCACGCCTTGTAAGTATTGTTAGTAACCAAAATTACATTTAAATTTTCAAAGTGACGTGTTTTCACTTATTTATATATTTTATTTTTTAGGGTAAAAGTGGAAAGGCTTCTGACTTGTACTCTTCGTACACACACACATACGAAGAAACATGATGGGAAGACCCACGTCAATAAGAAGTCAGAAGAAGTATCAGTAAGTGATAATGAATATATATAATGTATTAATGAATGATTAGTTTTCATTGGATTCAATTGAATATGCATACTGCTCATTTTATTTTGCTTTTTATGTTACAATATATATATATACATTTGTGTTTTGTGTATTGCAGCAAAACTACGTAGCGATGCAGGAGGCAGTTTGTGAAGAAGGCTTAAATGTGACACCTGACGAGATTTTTCTATCTACAGTCGGAGGACATGATGCCAAGAATCGTGTTCATGGTGTTGGAGATCTCGCACGGAGCCTACTACGAATGCATGCAAGTGAGGCAAGACGTGCTAGCACTAGTTCTATGTGGGACCCTTGAGATGATAAGAT